GAAAGCCGTGTAGTATATTTTTCTACACAATTAGTAAATTTGATATAATGGATATAATCACTGAACAATAATTGCAAAAGATGCATTCTTTTTAAGCATTCTTTTAACAATTGGCTGTGCCCTAGGCAATAGAGCAGGTCTCAAAAAAGACCAAAATTCTGAATCATTCTGGTCACAGTGGAATTACTTTAAAACTCAGTAATAAAAGTGTAACTGCAGATCCAAATTTAAAAGCACACTTGTAAATAACTCATGTAGAAAAGAACAAATGAATATGAGAAATAGAACTGAACTAATGAAAATGCTATATATAACTTGTGAGATGAAGCGAAGGTAAATTTAGAATAAACCGAAATATACATGCATTTAGGTTTGTTGAATTATAAATGAATAACAACTGAAAATGGCTAAGCTAAGTAGATGAATTAAAATATTCATGAAAGAATAAAGTTAACTACCCCCCAAAAGAAGGGAGAAATAATAAAGCTCACAGAAATTAAGGAATAGAAAACATAAAGTAACAAAATGCAAAGATATTCTTTGCAAGCACTCAAAAAAGGAAATAAACTTTTAGCAAAACTGTGGAAAAAGAATTTGAATGACTGATACATTAGAAAATGAGCAAACTTGTTTAATAAAGAAACCGACAGAAAAAGAAATCCCAAGTGTAAAAAAACATGAGGAAATGCTCAGCTCTATTAGTAATGAAAATTGTAAATTCAGGTACTAGTGAGATACCACTTCCCATTCATCAAAATTGGTAAAATATAAAAAGACTCAAAATACCAAGTTCGGCAAAGATGGGTAGTATCAGGAGCTCTCATGTACCACTGGTGTATGTATGAATTGGAAAGTAGTTTTGAAATATCTAGTGAGGTTGAAGATACACACGCCCTACAACCTAGCAGTTCCGCTCCCTGTTGTAGCCCTTCAAATAGCTCTCACACATGTGTGCAAGAATGACCGTTGGGCATTATTTTTAATGGCAACAAGTGTAAGAAACTGAAGGCCATCACTAGAACATTGGGTAAGGTGTGATAATTCAGTTCGAAGTGTTTGTATCAAGATGGTTAAATATGTTGAACTTTGGGGAGGGGGAGTTGCAGAAGAAATGTGTCTGATTCATTCATACAAAGTTTTAAAGTGTGTGAAGAAATACCTTATCAATTTACTTACATGGTAATTGTGATTTATAATAAATATATATTTGGTCTTCATCCCCATTCTAACACAGAACCCTTGTACTTTCCTAAAGAGTGCTAAAGGTGTCTTTTGTTATGTTACTGGTGACTTGTAGAACCCACCTAAGGATGGGCAGCTGCTTGCCTAGAGGACCAACAGTGTGATTAGAGAGTTGGAACTTTCACTCTCACCTACCCCTCACCCTCCCAGACGTAGGGGAGGGGAGAGGGGCTGGACGCTGAATAAATCGCTAATGGCCAGAGATTTAATCAGTCATGCCACTGTAATGAAGCCTCTATAAAAACCTAAAAGAAGGGGATTGGGAGAGTTTCCAGGCTGGTGAACAGTTGATTTAGGGAGGAGGTTGTGGGAACTCCTACTAATCTGTAGCCCGTCAGAAATACAGGTAATAATTTGGACTAGCATCTGAAGTACAAGGAAAGGGTAGATAGGAACCTCCAATCTATAGATTATACAGCCTGGGGTTATGACTGGCATCTGAAAAGGGGGTTAGGTTGAGGCAGTCTTGTAGGACTGAACCCTTAACCTGTGGAATTCTAATTCTGTGTGCTCTCTTGGTATAGAGTTAGAATTGAGTGTATTGTGGGACACCCAGCTGGTGTCCAGAGCATTGTTTGTTATTGGTGTGGAAGCCACCCTGCCTACATACCCAACAGGTTGGAATTGGGTCTAGGAACCTAAAATATTATATGTAATAAAACTTTTAAAACATGCATGGAAATAATAAGCACAAAGTTCAGCATGGTGATTACCTCTGTGGAGAGAGAAAAGAAAACATGTTTGAGTAGATAAAACTAAACAAAAAATTCTGAAGTATATATATACAAGAAGTTATGATTCGGGGACACCTGGGTGGCTTCTGCCTTCAACTCAGGTCATGATTCCAGGGTCCTGGGATCGAGTCCCACATCGGGCTCCTGGCTCAGCGGGGCACCTGCTTCTCCCTCTGACCCTCTCCCCTCTCATGCTGTTTCTCTCTCTCTCTCTCTCTCAAATAAATAAATAAAATCTTAAAAAAAAAAAAAAGTTATGATTCAGGGGCACCTGGGTGGTTCAATTGGTTAAAAGCCACTCTTGGTTTCAGCTCAGGTCATGATCTCAGAGTCATGAGATGGAGCCCTGTGTCAGGCTCCACACTCTGTGTGGAGTTTGCTTAAGTTTCTCTTTCCCTCTGCCCCTCCTCTGCACACATGCGCTCTCTCGCTCTCTCTCACTTGCTCTCTCAAATCTTTAAAAAATAGACATGTTAGTATATTATTGTACTTTTGTTCATGCTTGAAATATTTTATATTAAGATAACACTACATTAAATCACTTTATGGAAGAATAGTGGAACTTGAGACTAAGTTATTGCCCTTAAGTAAGAGAATGAGCTTCTTTTTAGAACGAATAATGGAAGTATAATGTCATCATTCACCACCCACCACCACACCTCTCCCAATCTCTCCAAATCCCCCACAATCATACCTTTTTACACAAGGAAACTGAAGCCGCCTTTGGTAACAGATCACTGTAGGAGCCACTACCAGGTTTCATCTGTAAGCCTTGAGCATAGGCAGGTGAAAAAGTACATTCATCAACAGTCTATGAGGGCAAGAAAAGGAAAACTTCAGAGTACAAGAACCACAGGTGTTTTCAGGTTATTTGCCTCACGATTCCCAAAGGTTTTACGGGGTTTTTTTGTTTTTCAAAATAAGTAGCTGTACTCTTTTTCTCCTCATTAAAATATAACTCAGGGGCACCTGGCTGGCTCAGTTGGTAGAGCATGTGACTCTTGATGTCAGGAGTTGTGAGCTTGAGCCCCATATTCAGTGTAGAGATTACTTAAAATTTTTTTAAACATAATTCATATTTTTTTAAAAACTCTAAATAAAATCACCCACAATTGCACCTTCTAATAATTACTATAGATATCTTAGTCTGTATCTTACTCATATGTATATATAGTGTTTACCCAAAAGAGCACACTCTACATTTTTGTTTTTCACCTACTTTTTGTTATGATGTTATCTTAGAAATAGTTCCATGTCTGGGAAAAAAAAAATCTGTCATGTGTTTTGATGGCTGAATAGCATTCTACTGTGTGGTCATGCCATAATGTATTTAACCAAACCACTGCTGGTTTTTCCAGTTTTTGCTTATATTCAATACTGTGATGAACACACTACACATGCATCTTTGAATACTCGTTTATTTGGAATAAGTTCTTAGAAGGAGATTTGCTGGCTCAAAGGGATTGCGTAATACATAGTAAGGCTTACAGAATATAAGTTTCCAGCGGGCTGGAGCCTCAGGCAGGAGTTGATGCTGCAGTCCTAAAGCAGAATCGCCTCGTCTCTCAGTAACCTCAGTTGCTGCTCTTATCTGTCCCTCCATATCGATAGATACTAGTGCTTTGTCAAGTATATATATTTTGCATACATCTTCTCTTAGTTTGTGGCTTTGCCTTTTTACTTTCTTCGTGGTATCCTTTAATGAGGAGAATTTCTTAATTTTAACGTAGTCCATGTAATTTTTTCTTTCATAATTAGCTCGCTTTTGAGTCCTCTTTAATCTTTGTCTATTAAAAGCTCTTTTTATGTTTTCTTAGTTTCATCTGTATTTAAAAGTGGAAAGGGGGCATAATTCACATTACCCGAAACTTTTCCATGGATCCTGTGTTGTAAGATATTTTGCAATTTAGGTATTAATCTACCAAACATTCTTATCTCCTGCTGGGAACAGCACCTCCTGTCTCTATTTTGGGGGAACTTCTCAGAGCCCACCTGTTGTAGCATGTGACATTCTTGGCCACAGATGTAAGCTCTTGACCCAAATTGGGCTAATGTTACTTTTACCCCTTAGCCACGGTGATTGGTGCAAATACGGCCTCATGACTCAGGGTGGGACAGCCAGGGAGGTGACTGAGAGCTGTTTGCAACTGTGGTTCTAGGTCAACCAGACTGCCCCACAAGAAAATGAAGCCAGTTTCGAAAGAGAAGTAGAATGGAGAGACAGCGGATCTTGGCAGTGTTAAGTCACTGGCTGCCTAAAACTCACTTACCCTGGACCTTCCTGTGGGTTTGGTTACAGTAAATTCTCAACATTTATTAAAATCTTTTTTTCTTTTGCTTTAGTTAAAGGTTAAAATAAGCATGCTTTAAAATGTAGTTCCATGGGGCTCCTGGGTGGCTCAGTTGGTTAAGTGTTGGACTCTTAATTTCGGCTTGGGTCAGGATCTCGGAGTCGTGAGATCCAGCCCCACGTGGGCTCTGCACTGAGCCTGGAGCCTACATAAGATTCTCTCTGTCCCTCTGCCCCCACTACCTTGCCCTCTCCCACACAAGCACACACTCTCCCTCTCTCTCTCTAAAAAAAATAAAATAATATGTAATTCCATGATCGTATAAGTTTGAGAATGTTCCTGTTGTCTTACCCTTAGAGATTCACAAAGTATGTTAGCCTATTAAAGGTCATAAGAAAACATGCTGTAGAAGAAGCCTGTTTATCTTTAGTTAACCCAGTAATTCTCAAACTTATTTTTGATGTGAATGCTTTTTTATGGTGCTTCTATTAATATCTCATAGAATCTTGGCCAGCAGATTGTTGGTTTGGGATATGCTGGATCATAGGCATGGAAGGCCTAACTGCAAGCTGACAGATGAAAGGTGCTTTAATCCCTGAGCTAGGTTTTGAAAAATGCTGACATTTAATAATTTATGAGCAAAGCATGTTATCTTTAAAATTTGGCAAAGAGTCTTCTGATAAAAAATAAAAGAAATTTAATGCAAGCAATCTGCAAACCTTTTCTTGTACAGGTTAGCCAATACACATTTGCTATGTGCAGTTATAGAGAAAAAAAGTCTGAACCACAAGAACTAATGCAACTGGAAGGATACACTGTGGATTACACAGACCCCCACCCAGGTAATTCTAAATTGTATCGCTTTCTCTGCCATTCATGTATTGATGAAATTCTCATAAATATCCTGTCTCTGTTCTAGGTTTCAAACTCCATTGAATGAATAGAGGGCATATTTCATTTATGTACCTAGACAAGACTTCATGAGATTCAAAGTATATCTTTCTGAGGGCTACTTAGCTTTAGCCATAACTCCTCATTTCTGTTATCTTTAAGACAACGATACAATATGTGAAAGTTACTGTAATAGAAAAATTATATGAGAAATATCAGCAATGCTTATATGAACTTCTTACTGGAAAGCCAAAAGGTAAAAGAGACAGAAATAGGGAAGGAAGCAGCAGATGAATTTTTGTATATTCTACCAATTTTTTTCCCCATATCACATTCTTAAATTCTCTCCCTACTTCCATATTAATACTACGTATGTACTAGATGCTTGGTATCTAACATTGGTGAGGGAATGAATTAATATGTGGAGGTTAATGAAATTAATAAAGCAATACTAAGAAATATGTAGATTTAATACAGAGATTAGGAATTTAATATGGAGAGATTAAAAGTAGGAATCTGTGATCCCATTCACTAATTGGTCACAGAAAAATGCAAAATAGCTTCTTTGTCAAAGAATTTTGCAAAGGATAAAATACCATACAGATACAAGTATTGTTTTTGCCCTACCTGTGTTTCTTTTCTGCTAAAATCACCATATATTTCTCCTGCATGTAGAATGAGAAATGTGCCAAAAGATAAGACTTTCTTCTCTGGCCTGAGTTTGCAGACTGTGCTATATATTTCTATGGAGTAGGTTTTTATGGCTTGCAGAATGTTACTGTGTCATGAACTGTTCGTTTCCTTAAGCTGTTTTTAATTTTTAAAGTTATATGGAAGTTTAAACCTTTCTCCTGTTAACAGCATTGAGCTACCAATGTCAAACTGATTCTCTTCCATGTGACTGTTTAGTGCATGAGCTTGAAATCTGCCAATTATGTAAGTTTTTAATGACGTCTTTCTTCCTCCACAGGTCTTCAGGGTGGTCATATGTTCTTTAATGCAGTTAAAGAAGGAGACACTGTGATATTTGCCAGTGATGATGAACAGGATAGAATATTATGGGTTCAGGCCATGTATAGGGCCACAGGTCAGTCATATAAACCCATTCCTGCGATTCAAACCCAGAAACTGAATCCTAAAGGTGGGACTCTCCATGCAGATGCTCAGCTTTGTAAGTTTTGTTGAAAAATAATTGGATTATCAATTAATAACCTTAATAAGATATAAAATTGAGACACATTTGTTCAGTATCATAGTTTACATCATTAATGAATTCCTAATTGAATAAAAATCATTTGTATTAGTAGCCATAGAATCAACTCTCTAATTTTTTCACACAGATCTGGAATAAATGTTGCGTGGGTTTTCAGTCCTGAATTTGCCAAGCATTAGGGTATATCTGGGAATCTGCAGAACATATAAGAAAACACTAAAACTTCTCCAATAAAATTTATTTAAACTTACTGTTTTACCTTACATGTTCTATAAAAATGGGAAAAGTATTACAAAATCAAATAAGCATTGATAGGACTCCAGAACACCAAAATGATGAACCATCACTTCCTAGGGTTGTTCTTAATAGTCCAGAAGGATAATAGGGCTATTTTCTGCTGTAGATTGATAAAAAAGAGCAAGTCATCAAGCCAACTTTATCTAAATACCTTAGTATTCATGTCATCCTTTGTATGCTAATTTAAATCATTTAAAAAAATTTATTTTTCACTTGAATCTATAAGTGATTAATAACAAATGATTTACTAGTTATAGAAATATTTTCAAACACAGCTTTAATAATCATTAAACCAAATATTCTAACTTGTTACACTCCTTTGCAAAGCTTCTTTGGTCTCATCTGTAATGTCAGTTTTTCTATGACTTTAAATTCAATTTTTGACTTTTCAGTTAAAAGGTTCTACTATTAAGGTTCTTCTCCAGGGGAGTAACATCTTGACATGCATTATTTTGGTCTTGTATTTTTCTCGTATCAAATAACTTCTCTCTTTTCACTATCATGTCTGGGCATCTTCATGGCACATTAAGCCAAAAATTAAAGATGGAATATGAGCTCAAGTCCAGCTACCTTTGTGTTTCAGGGTTAGAAGTATACCTCTTTAAACTTACCACAGTCCAGGGGCGCCTGGGTGGCTCAGTTGGTTAAGCGACTGCCTTCGGCTCAGGTCATGATCCTGGAGTCCCGGGATCGAGTCCCGCATCGGGCTCCCTGCTCAGCGGGGAGTCTGCTTCCCCCTCTGCCCTCTTCCCTCTCATGCTCTGTGTCTCTCATTCTCTCTCTCAAATAAATAAATAAATAAATAAATAAAAATAAAAATAAACTTACCACAGTCCATCTTCATAGCACTTCATCAATAGTATATGCAGCTTAAAATAGTATACTTCCATTTCTCCCCTTCTAGCCTCTAGACTATTCTTGTCCTACATTTTACTTCTTCACATATTATAAATCCCACAATACCTTGCTATTATAATTATTGCCTTAACAGTCAATTACCTTTTAGGGAAATTTAAATAGTATGAGAAAATATTTGTTATATACTTACCCAAGTAGTTACCAGTTCCAGTGTTCTCCGTTGTCTTGTAGAAATCTCTTACTTCTTGGGGCGCCTGGGTGGCTCAGTTGGTTAAGTGTCTGCCTTCGGCTCACGTCATGATCCCAGGGTCCTGGGATTGAGCCCCGTATCAGGCTCCCTGCTGGGCGGGGACCCTGCTTCTCCATCTCCTTCTGCCTGCTGCTTCCCACTTGTGCTCACTCTCTTGCTCGCTATCTCTCTCTCTCTCTCTCTCTCTCTCTGTCAAATCTTTAAAAAAATATATTTCTTGAAAGACTTCTTGTGACTTAAGTGCAAGTCTGGTGGTGATTCTTTTAACTTTCTTACATATGAAAAAGTAATTTACCTTCATTTTGAAAGAAAATTTCTTTCAGTACTTTAAAGATTTTGCCTCATACTCTAACACCTTGTTTTATAATGAGAAATGTGTTCATTTTTGCCTGTTTCTGTGTACATAATGTCTTTTTTCCCTCTAGCTGCTTTAAAGATTTTCTCTTTAACACTGGTGTTGAGCAGTTAGTTTATAATGTGCCTTGATGTAGTTTTCTTCATGAAAATGTCCTATAGTTTTATTCTAAGACACAGTTAAGTCACTTGGAAACAGTTCAATCTTTTCAGGTTTTACTCTTAAGTTTTGTTAGGTGGAACTAAATAGTGTCTAGTCTTGGATTAATTTTCCCCATTTCGGGACCACGATTCTTCTTAAAGACTCTAAGTGATGACCCATGAATTTTGAGGTTTCCTACTGACTGTTGAGAACAAGTACTATTGCAGGCTCTGTGTGAGTTTTCGGCACTGCCCCCTCTCATCCTTTAGGATGATTTCTTCTCTGGCCAGAGGTGGTCTCCTCACATGTGTGAAGCAATCAGTATTCAACTGAATATGGAAAGAGGAAGGGGTAGGAAACCGTATTCTTGCAGGCAGACTCTAGCCATTTTGACCTTCCTGAATTGTCAGGTCCATCTTCTCAACTTGGGGAGCACGCTAGTGCTTTGTGGGTTCTTGTTCCCTGTGCCTCAGCTTTGAAAGTTTTTCCGGGTCTTAACTTGATCCTCAGCTCACCACATTTGTTTCCTGTTTCTCAGGAATCACTCTCCTGGGTCGTCTGATGTCCAATGTTTTGAGAACTATTTCTTTAATGTATTTTTTTCTGAATTTTTAGTTGTTTCAGGTAGGAGGTAAATCTGTTCTCCATGACTGCATCCTGACAAGAAACAGAATGATTGTTTTTTTGCAAGTTAGAGTAAGATTTCTCAACCTCGGCACTAACATTTTGGGCCAGATAATGCTTTGTTTCAAGGGTTGCCAGGAGGGCTGTCCTGTGAATTATAGGATGCTTAGCTTCATCCTTGGCTTCCACTCACTAGATTCCAGTAGCAAACCATACCCCCCCACACACCTGATAACTGAAAATATCTTCAGACATTGCCAAATGTTGGGGGGGGGGCAGAGTTAAAGATGGGCTAGAAACACCCTCATTTGAGAACCACTTGAACATTATTTTTGTGAAAAGGTCTCCTCACTTGTGTTTCAGTATTTTTTTTCATATCCTAAGTGCAAGAAATACCCAACCCCTGGCCTAGAACATTAAGGCCATGACTATGCAATATAGAATTAATGAATATAAGATCTAGTAATCAGTTGATTCAAATAACCATGTACTCTCTTTCTCACAAAACCTTTCTACGATCAGATATCAGCCTATTGTCAAAGCAGTGTTGATTAGGTTAAGTGGGATGGAGTTTTCTAGCCCCTTGATTCACTTGTTCCAAAAAATCCAAACTTGTTGTAAAAAGCCAAACTGTTTTGGTTATGTTAACAACAGCTTTCCTGTATTCCAGATGTTTAGTAAAGTTTTCTATCACAGAAGACCCTGCTGTTTCATCTTTCTTTAAAAAGGTGGGGGGAGGGGAGGAAGGAAGAAAGATGTGTTTGTACCTCATTGAATGAGAATACTGATCTTGACCTCTCGCAGAGAAGCCACCCATTGGACTTCTCCAGAGAGTAGTTAGCCCTTAGTATTTTCTTCCCTTCTGCGATTTCCCTGGCATTTCCTTTTCTTCTTTTTTGATCACCTCTAGGAAGAACAACTTTTAGAGTCATTAGTAGAAAGTAAGAAAATGATATGAAATTAAAATGACTAGTTATAGAAGTCAGTATGCTCCTAATCCATTTAAATATGCTTTTTCATTCCTTTGCTGACCTATAGCTGGTAAGGGTAAGTATTTTCATGATTTTTTTTTTTTTTGCTTCATTGTATTAAAATCTTTATAATAATGTGATTTTTAAAGGAATATCATGATCTTGTTTACAGTGTCAGTCTCCTAGTTTCTAGACAAACCCAGAATATTTAGGTTAACTTTACCATTTATGAAAAAAAGTTCATTTTTGCCACAAGAGTAAAGTGGAAACAACCTAATATCTACCATTCATGTGGGAATAAAGGTAATGGCTGTGAAGGTGTTATGATAGCATGGAAAAGAAATACTCAGTAATGCTAAGTGGAAAAATACTAAATTATGTATGTGATATTATAACTGCTAAAAAATTTTATAAATATAAGTAGAATTTATACCTAAACTATTCACAGTGGATGAGTTTAAAGGGTTTAGTTACTGATTTATTTCCTCTGTTTTCTGAATTATCTTTGAAGTATCTATTATAACTTAAAAACTAAACACACTGACTAAATGTTGAGATAGAACAAAATAATAAATTTCCAAAGTCTACCTTATTTGAAGGCAACCTTATCTGTTTTAGGATATAAATGATGGTATGTATTTACAGATTTTTCTGGTACGTGAATCTATCTGACTTCCCTGTTTCTTTGATTTTCAGGATATTTAGAAATTCTAAGAAAATAGGGTAAACTGAACGGGTAGGGTCGGGGGTCTGCTTGCTATCCAGATTTTCTGCTTCAGACAGTGCATTGCCTTTTGCCAGACTGACAGACATTCTTTGGTTAAACTATCCTTCACTATGCAAAGCACCTGTTTTTCATTTTTCTCTCTTCTGTATATAATGCAATGCAATATGTATGTAACATAATACAACACAACACAACACAGTACTAATTGACTTCCAATAATAAAGAAATGTCAAAAATGAGCCAGAAAAGTTACCTTCTTTTTAAATCAAATTTTTTTTAAAAAATTCTTAAATTGGAATATAAACTTACATTTAATTTTATGAGCTTATTTTCTTGATCTAGTAAGATAATTTCACACTTCATAGGTATGTTTTACTTTACATTGAATATATTATTTCACGTAAATGTTGAATACTGGTTTGCTTTGCTTATGATTCTAGGTCTGTATGTGTTGATTAAAATTGTCATGCGAAAATACTAGTTGTTATTTGCCCCAGAAAGCAAGATGTGTAAATTCATACATCCGTTTTTAGTGAATTTAACAAAAACAAGCTAAGAAATTATTTGGGTCAATAATAGAAGTGTGAACAAACTCCTAATTAATATAGGTATTGACGTTTCTCTTTGGTGTTCAGCATAAAATGTGTACATAAAAAATATCAACCAAGATAATCTACATAGAATTTTGTAACATAAAACTTCCTATTAGTGGCCACATGGGTGCTATAAAAATACATGAGGTCCTTCTCTGTGCCATGTTTACCTTCTTGTGAATTTTCAAGCTCAGAATTTGAGCGACAAGGAAAGTATAATCAGATGTGGTATGGTAAATGCAGCTACGGGCAAGCTCTTAAACATAGGACAATTTTAAACCAAGTTATTGTATTTCAAAAGATTCGTATGCTGCTTAGTGCAGTTCAGGATTTTGCAGAGGAGCAGATGAGCTCTTAGGTAGCAGCGCCTTCTTCATAGTCCTTTTGGTACTTGAATCCCAGGCCTGGACACCTGAGTGGTCTCAGAATGCTAATGAACGGCCACCTCTTCTCCTGCAGTATCCCATTTGCCTCTCCCCCGCTTCCTTTTCCTCCACTGTTTTATATCCCTAATTTCTCTCAACACCAGGAGCAGCAGGAAAAAAAAGAAAAGAAATGCAGCATCCTTAGAATTAGTTGCGAAGGAAGAAGAAACATTTCAGTTAAATTTTTCCCCATCTCACATTTGGAACTCTGACTTAGATGCCTGTCCTGGTCTTGGATTCTGGAGCACATAGGGGCTGGCCGTGGTCAGTGCCCACCAAAGAGCCCCCTCGCGCACACCACAGCGGGGCCTACCAGGTTACTAATAGTCCTCACGTTGTTTTGTAGGCTAGCTATTTTCAAGTCAGTGTTAACTGTTTAAATTGGTACTATCAGCCTACTTACTCTTTTCCCTTGACTTCCAACAGCTATTACCCTAATTAAAAATTTAAATTTTCAGGTTCCATTTGAATAAGCTTCTATAATTCCATAAATCTATAGCAAATAATAATCTTTCTCAATTTGGGTTTTATTCCATCCACTTCTTCCACACCTGGTGACAGTACCACCTAAAGATGCTGGAGCATATATCCAATTGTTACCATAGAAACTCTCCACCAGTATCCTCAATTACCATGTCCCACATCTGTAGTTAGTCCATAGGTTAATCATGACAATTTATGACAGTTTTGCTGTGCATTGTTCAACCTCACATCTTGTTGGTTTCTTTTGATAATTTTCTTACATTGTTTTGGAAGACAAACTGAACTGAAATTTTTCATTATCAGTGAACATTTGATTAGTGCCATGAATAATTTTTCATTTAAAACTAGTCACCATAATTTTGTGTTTTAATAAACATTAATTGAAGATAATCGAGCATAACCCAGTTTTAAAGCAAGTCTCCAAGCCTTGCATTTGGTTATGTAATTGATTGAAAGCACAGTTCATTTGATCCAGATGATATCTCTGTGTTTTCTAAGAGTAGATGTTGATATGTTATGCCAAGAGAAAACTATATGAAAATATCATTTTACAGAAATAAAAAACTAGGTAATATTTTAACAATAGATGTTTTCTTATTTTACTTTAGTTCATGAGAGGATTTTAAAGTGAAAGATTTCTCACACAGGGAGATCAAAACTGTTGCTTTTTCAAAATTTATTTCTTCATAAATTCATGGAAACTAATGAATCAGTGGTGCATGGTGAAGTATATTTGCATAAAATATTTATTTTTTATTATGTTCTGTTAATCACCATACATTACATCATTAGTTTTTGATGTAGTGTTCCATGATTCATTGTTTGCATATAACACCCGGTGCTCCATGCAGAATGTGCCCTCTTTAATACCAATCACCAGGCCAACCCATCCCCCCACACCCCCCTCCCCTCTGGAACCCTCAGTTTGTTTCTCAGAGTCCACAGTCTCTCATGGTTCATCTCCCCCTCCGATTTCCCCCCCTTCACTCTGGTTTCTCTTCAGATTGCATAAAATATTTTAAATTGTGCTTATCAGACATAAAAAGAAAGAAATAGAGATTCTTGGTCTTTACAGCCTGTGTTTTGAAGATGGGATAATCCCTAAGAATACATTTCGCTTTCATAGAATCATAGCGCCAGAGAGATTGTAGGTTGTTTGTTTGTTTTTTTATAGAATATTGTTCGCCTACAAGTTTTATCACTGTCAATATGGGGTCTGTTTTTGTGATTTAAATTGCTATTAGAAATATTTTATCACTAAAGGTAATCATTGGCAAAGTAATTTTTCATTCATGTGTGTGATTCCAAAGGGCTTGACACATTAGCAAATATATAGTTTAGAATTACATTTCTTGAGGAAAATGCTTCATAAAGTATATTCATTTTTGAAAATATGATTTAATTATAGAAATGAAACAGGCTCTTTTTTTTCAAGAACTTGTAGGTACTATTTAAAGACTATATACCCATTGCTTTAAAATAAAAATTTTGCTCCTATAAACCTTTATAAAAGGCAGAAGTAAAAAGAGGATTATGTAGAACATACTGTATGTATTTAAATATGTAATGTATGTATTTTGTAGAATAAAAGAATGATGGATTTTCTGTGGAATTTCTTATATATCCTGTTCTCAATAGATAAGTCATTAATTGGTGTTATTTTTAACTTCTTGTTATGACCTTCTCTGGTGAAAGAAATAATAAAATTCAGCAGTTGTTTTATAAAACTAGGAATTACATAAAGGTGACACTAAAAGTTTTTTTACTCGAATAAATGGATAAACGAAGATTTTAAGGTTCTTTAAAATACAAAATAACGGTTTTATAATATATGTGCCTTGCATTTTTCAGTATTCTGTCTACTCATATTATTTCACATTATCATATATGTAACTTTGAAAGACTTTCCTTTGAAAGACCATCAGACATAAGAATAAAATACAAGAGAAGTTGAATTGTCTTATTTCTCAGTTCAGGAAAAGCAGTTTAATAACATTTAGTGTTCATCCAATTAATACTAATTTACCACATGTAATGCATTTAATCATTCAGTTAAGTAATTAGTAAATGTAAAGGAAAACATATGCCAATTTCTCCTTGGATCATAACCTCATACCTTCCATCGTCAATGAACTCCCATTGATGCTTACTTGCTACATTCACCTTTTGATATCTGTCACTGATGTGAGATCTTTTTTTTTTTTTTTAATGTGATTCTGAAGACCCTTCAGCTTGAATTACATAGTTCTTCCATCCACAAGTATGGCTGAAAGTTGAACTTGACATAGGATCAATATGATCTGGGCTAAATATCTAAATGTGACTGATTATGTTAGCATCATGTCCACAGATCAATACTGAGTTTTATTATGAGCCTGACTCTATAATTGCGTTTAATCAATAAACTTTTGTCTCCTTTCCTTTGCAATTTTAGGATTGTGCCATATAGGTTTTAAAAACTACATTCAGCTTACATTTAGGACTCTACTTTTTGTAATTACCAGAATGAGATCTGTCTATGAATTTTAAGGAACAATGGAGCCTCAGCTCTACCATTGTCAGGAGAGTCCACTTTTATCCCGATAACTGATTGCTTGCCCAATGTGCGCTACATTTCTAACAGAGCTAATGTAGTAACACCCAGCACTCCTTTTGGGTGGTGTGTGGCTTTTTCTCTATATACTTAGTAAATAACTCACATTGAAGACTTTGACAAAACATACCATTAATGAAAGCAATCATAAAAGCTTGCCTTTTGATAAACCCGCAGGGTCTACAGGCGTTGAAAGATGCAGTCTGTAAAGAACAGTAAATTTGGACCTTTGATTGAAGTGCCATTTGGGACGTTATGCTTTGTCTGCATATTTGCACAAACATGATGCTCCCTTTTTCATGTCTCCTAAACTTGAAGCTTGAGAGCATTCATTGCCATTTCTACATTATGGTTGGTCCCATTAAATAAGACTCAAAAAAAAAAAAAAAAAGACTGGAAGTGGTCCAGCGGAAGCCTGTGTGTTCATTTCTGCCCTAGTTTGCCATTTGGAAAGCAAGCTTCTAGCCATCGTTGCTGTTTTTTATGAATAGATCTGGGTTCTTTTCCAGTCGGTTCCTTCTGTAAATACATACTTAAAACGCATCTACCTTTCTTAAAATTGGAAAATAAGATTAGTTCTCTGATGAATATTAAAAGTAGCTTAGAGTGAAAATAGAAATTTCCTCATTTCAAATGATCTGCAGATTTTTCCAGGTCATTATTCATTAGGCTCCAAAAAATTACAATCTATGTTACTATGCTGAATTCTTGGCATCATATTTTTTGTAATACAAAATAGTCTATTATCATGAGGCATGCATTTTGTGTTCAAAAACTGTATTTGCCCATTATTAAGCCAGAAAAATAAATGTATTATACATGCTTTTTTGAATTTACAGATGCAGACCGTTTTCAGAAACATGGTATGGATGAGTTTATTTCTGCTAATCCTTGCAAGCTTGACCACGCCTTCCTTTTTAGAATACTGCAGAGGCAGACTTTGGATCACAGACTGAATGATTCCTATTCTTGCTTAGTAAGTACAAGTCTGTCTCTCCAGTCTCCTATAGGTTAGAATGAAAGATTTTTTTTTTTTTTTAAGTGAGAAACACTTGTTATGAAGCGGCATTTTATTCCTGACTCCTTTAATAACTGTAGTTGGGAGTTAAGGATGAAGGATTCCAATCGATTGCTTCCCAATTTGAAAATTATACACTTGAAGACCACTGCTGGGCCACTCAATAGATAGGAGAATAGACTCAAACAGACCCTGAATTGTGGTTTATCAGTCCCTCTGGAGAAAGCTGAATGAAAATAAAGGCTTTAATGAAGATAAAACAACCTCTGGGACAGGATTTACTAACACCTGTATAGACATTTTAAGGTTTAAATTCTGCTCACCCAATGTTGCTATCTTTCATTTTTCTCTTTTGTTCCTAGAAGGACAACCCAAGTGATGGGGGAAAGAAACAGTGCGAGAAATACGACAGGGCCACATGTAACATTGAAAATCTTTGGTTTCATTTAGCCCTCCAAAGATAATTTGAATTCCTTTAAAAAAATAAATGGGATTGAATCGAGTAAACTGCTACTCTGTGTTGAAACCAGCCAAAACTTGGAACATAAAGTATAGTTTACATTTTGAAGGAATGCTTGACTTCCTCAGAATGTGGGCAATTAAACTGCAGCCTAGGCATCCATATGTGCCCTTCCAAGGATTTATATTGTCAGTGGCAGTTCCTCAGAAATGTATCCAGCCAGACTATCCCTGTTTCTATCACCACAGTCTCTTGGCTCCTGAATGTGGTAGCTACCTACAGTAAAGCTACCTTGTCTTTAAGATTTCCAACAGGATGTGCTCAAGCTCATTGGAGATGTTTGAATAGACAGGAAGAACTGAAACCACTTATTGTTGTGATGACAACTTACTGCCCTGATAAATCATTTTTTTTTAAATTTTTTTTCATGATAAATCATTTATAGACTTTTTATTAAGTACTGCTTATTCAACATGTAACTATGGCTTAAACCCCATCCAGCCCAAACTTTACATGAAGAGTAAGAGCATCACAAAACCCTATGCTATCTTTCCAGGGGGAAACACCTGGAGTGGACACCAATAAGGGACTTTCCTGGTGGATTCCACTCAGCGGAGGGAGTTACTGAATGATTAGAAGTTGTTTGGGTTATGTGGATGATCCCACGTGATGAGGAGTCTGAGAACACTACAGTATGTCTTCAACTGTATCTAGAGGGTAGTAAGCATGGTGTGAAGAGACTGTTTGGAGGCAGGATGGCCCTGGATGTAAACCATGACTCAACAATGGATTTTCAGTGTCCTGAGCAGTTCACTAAAGGTCACTGAACTGTAGCCTATGTGTCTAAGCTGGAGATTGGAGTAACGCACAGGCATGGCGGTTCTAATACTACACAGACATGTTGTCTGTCTAGTTGAGCGCCTGCGCCATAACCACAGTATTTGCTCTTTTTTTCTCCCCTCTGCTTTGTCTTATTGCTGTCTTACCTTTTTGCATTTCTCACCCATCTTTTTCTTCTCTTGCACAGTTATCCTGCCCCCTTTTAAAACTGTTTATTTTTAGTCCATATTACCCATTGAAACGTTTTATAAAGCAACTCTGCTTAACCCTGACCTCTGGTGTTAGCCAAGCAGGCTACCTGCTGGTTCAGATGGCTCACAAGCATCCACGAACACACACGCACCCTTCACATCTCATTTTAAGAGAACCAGAAACTATTGTAAGCCATTAGCCCTTGTTATATTGGTCCTAGAGGGACAAAGAGAATGAGAACAGTGTCCCAAATATGCAAATTACCAAATAGTATACGTTTACTACCACTAGACTTAACTGGAATTTTCTTAGTTCACTTTATAAAATGTTTTTGGCAACTAGGCAATTTCAATTATAGTATCTGCTTTAACCATTCTCTTTATAATTGATTCATACAGGGTTTGAAGTTTTTCAAAATGTTATTCTCTGTGACTGATGATTTAGATACTGTGAATAAATTTGGCCGATTTTGAATGACAGTGGAGAAAAGCAGGTAGCCCGTGTCTTGCCGTGGCAATGAAGAGAGAATAGTATTCGATTACGAGTGTCCCAGATCAGGTCCAAAATTGATGACATTGGCTTTATGAAAATAACATGAAACATACCACTAATAAAAAAAAAAATGTCAAAAGACACTTGGATTCAGCTTCTTCTTATAATGTCAAAGAGTGCCTGAAGAAAAGCAAATCCTAGTACAGAAAGGAAAATTTTTTTTTTCTTTTGCAGGGTTGGTTTAGCCCTGGCCAAGTCTTTGTGTTAGATGAGTACTGTGCCCGTTACGGTGTGAGAGGCTGTCACAGACATCTCTGCTACCTTACAGAACTGATGGAACATTCAGAAAATGGTGCTGTCATTGACCCAACCCTGCTCCATTACAGCTTTGCATTCTGCGCCTCTCATGTGCACGGCAACAGGTATTTTTACTTGCAAACACACAGTGAAATGTGTAGGGTTGACTTAGGAAGAGAGAAAAATGTGCTTTGCCACTATCACCTAGTAACTGATTTTAAATAGCAAACACTTCTTGCAGGAGGCGGGGAGAAAACTCACAAAGGAAAAATGTACATCAATATGCTGTTGATTTAGGTTGGCTGCACTTTAGGTTTCTTTTTGCCGTTAAAGCCACTTGAAAGAGAAAGGAAGAGAATATCTATGAGGTTAGAAGTTGCCTTTTAGTTCTTTCGTACCACCTAGTACTAGGGGCTGCACAGCTTGAGTGTCCTCTGTATTTCTGTTGTTATGCATATGTATGTCTGGGTAAGGCTTGCTGATGGGTTTGTGTATACCTGATGCTTCTTGCTTTTCCACTGTGGAATAAGCTTTCACTGATAAAGCAAGATAAATAAGGAGGTTTATGTGGAGTCTTCTCTTAGCCCCTTCCCTAATCTATACTTCATTTTATTTTATTTTATTTTTAATTTTATTTATTTATTTGTCAGGGAGAGCACAAGCAGGGGGAGCGGCAGGCAAAGGGAGAAGTAGGCTCCCCACTAAGCAAGGAGCCCCCCTAATCTATACTTTAGGAACAAGTGTCCCCTTTTAGTGTTTTGAGCCAAAAGGTTAAAAAGTCACCTAATGCAGGCCCCCACCATCATGTGCCTCTAGAAGCTTAAAATCTCTCCGTGTCTCAGTCCCTCTCTTCTCTTAATCCTGTTCCAAGGGAACCTTTTCTGGGGTTCCTCCCACAAAGGAGATACCCTTTCTCCCATCCCCCTTTTAGCTTGTTTCAACCATTATTCCTTCTCTTTCTCTCTCTCTGTACTTCCTTTCTTCCACAAGCCTGTGTAAGCTTTTACTAGCCACACAACAGAACAGAGTGGTCAAGGGACTCTGAAGTCAGACTGCCTGGGTTCAAAGTAATACGAATTAATAGTGTGAGGTAGGGCAAGCTTCACAATCTAGTCTTGTCTGAAATTCCCTATCTGTGGGAAAGATATAACAGAGTATCTCTTTCAGAATTCATGAATCATCATAGGGATCAAATGCATTAATGTATATCAAGCACTTGGAACAGTGCCTGGCACATGAATAGTCAAAAAAAAGTTAACTGGTAGCTCATATTGTCTTAAGTATCGTTAAGCTGTCAAGCTACCTTTCCATTGTTCTCTTTTATCTTCCCAACCAAATTTCCATCTCCATTCCTCTCATTGCCAACAAGGCTTCTTGAGATAGACTGGGTAAGGACCTAATCCAGTAGCCTTTTCTCCAGCTTCGCCCTCCTTACTCCCTTTGAAAAGCTGATGCTCTGGACTTTCCAAGGGCTTGTGCTGCTTGAGACGCTGCTTATTTGCCCTAATGCAGCACTATCTCATCTCAGCTCCCTTCTTATTTATTTTTGACCATCTCTTTGCTAATAACTTTTTTTTCCTCCAGACTCCCAAGTGGAGTATAGTTCTTTTCTCACATCTGTTCTTGAACTTGCTCTGTTCTGAGAATTTTTCTACTTCACAGAAAAATTGTACTTCAGTGATCTTGCCCCTTTCCACAGCTTCAGTGACCTGTCTTTATACAGAATTCCAAACCAATTACTCTCCTAAGCTGTAGGTCTCTATCGACAATTGACAGCTTGAATGTTCTGGCACTTTCAACTCTCTGTGTATAAAATAAGTCCATCATCTTGGGTGCCCGGGTGGCTCAGTTGGTTAAGCATCCAACTCTTGATTTGGGCTCAGGTCATGATCTCAGGGTTGAGGAGATCAAGCCCCACATCTGGCTCAGTGCAGGGTCTGCTTGGGATTTTCTTTCTCCTCTCCCCCTGCCCCTCCACCCCTCTCTTAAAAAAGAAATTAAGTCCATCATCTCACTAAACCAGCTCCTGTACCTCTTTTAGCCCCTAACAGGGTGCCTGGCAAAAAGTAACACTCCTGGCACAAAATAGGTGTTCCGTAAACATTTGGTTAATGAATAAATGACTGCGTTAGTTATGTGAATATCACTTCCATTCATGGCCTATTCATTTTCATTCATCTTTTTCTTTTACCTCCTAGACCCAGTCTGTTGCCCATGCCAATGCTCTGCCTTTGTAGCACCCCTCAAGTTGGTCTGTATCATTTCCATTGCACTCTCCTAACTCAAGCCTTCTTTTTCTTCTTGCTTATTTATTTTTATGCATCTCTCTACTACTTCTTTTTCTCCCTACAACAGTCTAGCAATCACCTTCAAAATTACAGATTAACTTTTATTATACTCCTTTTGGAAAACTTCAGATTCTTGTTTGATTATGAAATTAAAGATAAGTTCCAAGCTATAGTATTAGGGTTTTCTCAACATCATTCTTTTCCCATCTACCCAGACTTCTCTCCAAGTATCCCTCCCCACATAATCTTTACCCCAGGCAACTTGTTTATTCTCCACGTAATGTTTCTCTTTTTCCAAGTTTGTGATAGTCCGATATCATAAAAGTCCTTGAAGAAGACTTCTGTTAACACAAACACCAAACGCCTTTTATCTGTAGTTTCCTTATAAACTTTATCATGCAAACCTACATGCTAAATCCACACACACTGCCCTTCTTCTATCCCACAAGGTCATATTTTGAAGGCAAAAACTGGTTCTCTTCACCTGTTATGCTCTGTAGGAGGATGTGCCACATTGCCTTGCATGTTGTGGGCACACAATCAATACTTTTTTAAAGATTTTATTTATTTATTTGACAGAGAGAGACACAGCGAGAGAGGGAACACAAGCAGGGGGAGTGGGAGAGGGAGAAGCAGGCTTCCTGGGATCATGACCTGAGCCGAAGGCAGACGCTTTTAATGACTGAGCTACCCAGGTGCCCCCACAATAAATATTTTTGAATTGAAGTCGTCGTTGTTGCCAGTTCTCATCCCACAGTAAAATAAAACCAATCCTAGTCTCAGCATCTGTTCAGGGTTTTACCTCATTATGGAACTCAGCCTTACTTGGGAATTAGGGGAAAGTTGCAGATGATAGTCCTGTCTCCCATTACCCCAAAGTAAACCGTCTGCACTCCACAAACTTTGCTGGGTGGGGCGGGGGGCGGGGCGGGGGCAGTAAGGGAGCGGCGAGAACAGGGGACAGTTGGGATGGCTAACGGAGAGCCAACGTGAGCGACTTTTTTACTAAACCGGTTTCTTAGCTCCTGGTTCTGTCTGTCTTCCTCCCAACCAGTGGATATCAAAAGAGAGGTCTCCCAATGTTAGGCAGGGCTCGGAAATGCAAGAGGATAAAAAGATTGCAGTGAAACAGACATACCCAAAGAATTGTGTATGATCAGATTATTGTAGTCATTAACACTGAAAGGGATAATCAAATTGAGAACATTAAGTAGGAAATTCAGCTGATGCCTCCCCCAAAACGGGTGTGTTTGAGACACATTTTAATGGAAAGTTACTGAGGCACCTGGGAGCTGCTGCCTCAAGGCAGCCTGATTTGAATCTATAGGTTGCCATAGTTACTTTTATTCTGTAAAACTATTGTTTTCTTTATAATGGTACACTGTAAAGTGTAATTTAAGGTGTGTTTATATGTTCATGCATGCATTATACCTAATAGTACACATTAAATCAATTCTCCAGGTTAAAATGTGTACATTTTCAGGTATCTCTGGATGGTATAAAACAAATTGGAGTCGGTCTGGGATTCAACATTTGGGTGACATGGAGCTTAAGAAAAAGGAGAAATGCCGGTTTTAGGGAAATTTGAACCTCAGTTTAAGGTAGAAGTTATCTAAGATAAACTGAAGGGGTATGATGTTTCCTGTAATCTTTTAGAGTCTAACAGATGTCATTCAGAAATGTCATGCTGTCACAATGAAAGCATAAAAAAAGAGGCAAAAGATCCCTACTTGAGTCTGACTCTAAAATCTGCAAAGGGACCCAGGTTGGGCAAATCACTTAACCTTTCTGAAACTCTAAGGTGTCATGTGTAAAAGGGGAAATATGGTAATTATACTCTATCAGTATTGATTAGTTGTTATTCTATCTTGCTTGCCTTTGCCAGTCAGCCACGGGGATGTAAATTGTGAGAGGAGAAAACCGGGAAAAGTAGGTAGAGCTGCAATACCTCATGCTAAGTGCAAATATTGCAGCACATATGTAATTAGACTCTTCAGTGTTTTTGCTAATAGAATGTTCGGGTTTTAGCAACCTCGCCTTATGAACATAAGCTCCTCTTATCCAGGTCTGCAGTATCTGATATTTATATAGACTTTTGTTGAAAATACTGTCAGTGTCAAGTCAGACTTTCCTACAGTGCTTGCCATAGTCTCTCTTTATGATCATTTTTATGTCTGTCAAGACACACATTCAGAGCACCGTTTTGCTCATTACCTGAGCTATCTCTGTCAAAAATTCAAAAGGAAAAAGGATCGCCTTTTGTTATCGACTGAAGTGAAGGACAACAGTGCTGTCTGGATCGGAAATGTTTCCGGGAGCACCTCCTATTTCACAGCTTTGAGCTCTCTAGGTGCTCTCTGCCACCACATCTCCCGTGAATAGCACTCGGAGCGTTTCAGAATAAAAGAATAGAGTTAAACAGACAAGGTCTGGCTGGTGCTAAGACTGAGGAAGAGAGAGAAAAGGAAAGGAAGAAAGAAAAAAGTGAGTCAAGGACAGAAACAGACACATTCTTGCAGGAGGACAGCCTCCACTCGGCGATCGCGCCGCTGAGGACCCACAGCAAGGAGAAAAGAGACTTTCGGAGACAATGCATTACAGGGCAAAGTTCTAGGTTGATATGTGTGGTTATACATCTCGGTTTTGCTCGTCAGGCTGAGGGTGGGGATACTGAAGCAGCAACACGGAATGGCTTTTTTGTGTCCGTTTACCGTAAGGTGCATATCCAGTGTCTTCACGGGCTCTGGGGCAGTTTAGTAGGGCCGTCTGCGGCCTGCTCCGCACCCGACAAGGGCCAGCTGGGCTGCGCCACCTTTCAAGTACAGGTACTGGACAAT